TTTTGGAAATACTAGTTGTCTTTTTTTTCTTCCCTGTCAACTTGCATTTCCTTTCCCACAGTGCTGGAGATACCAAGTAGAACGAAACTGAAGGTTTCCTATTATAATTTTGTTTGATCTATTGCAAATTAATTTACAGGCTCAGTGATAGCTGCTGGGAAATGAAGGATTGGTTTTGTTTGGTCAGTGAAGATGATGGGCATGGATCAAATAAGAGTTAACAATAATGCACTTGAACATATTGAATCAGAACATAATGCATGTATTGAATTTGATTGCAACATGCATGTCCATGGAAAAGTTTTTTGTTGAAAACAGATCAAGGCTATGGCTTAATTATCAAAGCAAAACAAGAGGTGTAAAGAGCTACATGTTTCTAATACTGCTTTTTTGAAAAACATTTCCCTTCACACAATTATCTACATGTTTAATTTCCATGCATAATAGCAACAGTTATTGTTGTCATTTGTAAGAAAGATTGACAGATAGTAAGTACAAACAAACGCAAATAAGGCCTGAATAGAGAGGTAGCAAAGAAGAAAAGATCTCTTTGATGCTAATTATAACTGCTAGGAACTCTATACAAATGATATTAACTATTTTCTATATGAATTGAAGGGACATTTAGCTAGTATCTACATAACACTTTTTTTTTTCCTTTTAATTTTGAGCGACAACTTAGATATCCGTTTTTAAAAATAGTTTGAGAAATGTACTGTTCAGTATGAAGCTACGTTTTTGTCATAATTTCTTAGTAGTTGAAAAAAGTATAGTAGTAAGCTGTTGAATTTGAATGCTTATTTTTATCCTAAGCTGCTGTTTGTTTTTAGTTTAAGCGGGATTTTTCAGTCTTTTTTTCACCTGTATTTTGTGACCAACAAAATTTTCAGCACTTTCTTCAACAGTAACTGCATTAGACTGAAACAATTGCATAAAGAAACTTGCTTCAAATGTCATTATTCAATGGTAGTTTGGGTGGACTATTATGCATTCCCTTATAAGACAACAGAAGCAGTCCTTACAATGCTGTAGTCCTTTGCTTCTTAATTGTTAGCTAAAAATGCCAATAGGTGGCAGAAAACAGTTACTTCTGTCATGCATTATTTTCATGGTTGTCTATTTTTGAGCATTCTGCTCAGCTGAAGTTGGGATGCTGCTCCCATTCCAGACTTTGTTTTTTCAGTTGCATTTGCATTCCCTAACTAAATACCTTACTATCTGTCAGGTTCCATGCTTTGTTTTCCTAGTATAATAAATTGTTTTAAAGTTCAAATGTGGTAATTTAATATGTTTTGTCATGACTGTGCAAACAGAATCTTTTCATAGTTACAGCTGAAACAATGATGCTCTTAAACAGGAGGGTTTCGGAATGGGTGAGGACAGCCTCCGTGCCTCCCCTTGCCTGACTGTCTATTTTAAGGCCCTTTTTGTGTCCGAGTGCTGCTAACAGATGTTCCATAGGAAGGTAGAGATGCCACATAATGAGCGAATGTGGCATAAAAAGCTTTCCATATGGAGCATAGCTTTTTGTCTCTAAGAATTAATTTAATGGAACATCTGTGACAATTTGTTATCCTTTCCAGAAATGTTTTTCTATTTTCCCTCACAGTGGCTCTAATGATATTCTCAGTACTTACATTGAGTGCCTGAAGATTTCAATGTTGAGATCCTTGAGTAGCTTTTTTTTTCAGTAGAAGGTTATTCCCTGTCTATTAAAATGGAATTATTTAAAAAATGTGAAACACTTTCCTCTTTGAGAAATAAATATCAAGTTCATTTGCAAAACCAAAGCTGTGGACTAGCTTTTCCACTTAAAGCTCATTTGTATCTACTGACTCCAGAAGACACAGGTCAGGTGTCTGTTAGATCAGGTCCTAAAGTAGGATTTCTTATGGTAAAGCATCTGCTGATGAAGTAGCTCAGTCATGTTGAGTGGTATCTGTCTTTCTAATGTCAATTCACATATGAATTTGTCATTCAATATATGTGACAAGGAGAGTGGTACGAGGGCTGCTAGGGCAATAGTTGTGCAAGACACCAAAATTAAATCCACAGAAGATTTCTGAGTTCTTGGAATTTTCTCTCTGTGCAGTATTAAATATGTAATGATTTACATTATTAATCTTGTTAACAATAGAACTCAAACATAGTGATCAGACGTGGATCGTACTGTTTTGAAAGTGCTTGTTCTGGTATTAGATGTACTCTTATTTTATTAAGAAAGTCTAGAGTAGGTTTTGTGTTGTCCCATAATCTTAGGTGAATTGTCTCAAGCAGATGAACTGTTTTTTGGAGATGCTTTTTTCTTCTACCATTTACTGTGAATTATCATGGAGTGACCACCTTAGGCTGGTATTTAGCCTCTAGATATCCAGTGTTGGGCAAAATGTACCCTAACAGCGTATCTTAATTCTTTCCATTTCTGCATTATGGACTTGAGTATACATCTTAGGTAGTGCTATATACCTTGCTGTAAGTGTGAAGTTGCCTACAAAGTTTTAATCATCTGCCCATATAGGCATAAAAGCTTCACTCTGAAAGAGGAACAGGAAGTGTTTTGATGGGCTTTGCACCGAGTTGGCTAATATTGAGGACATAATGTGGCTGGACAGAGAGTGAAAGAAGAGAAGTCTCTGGAATAAATGAAGTTATCTGGAAAGGCTTTGAGGTTTCATCCAAAAAAAAAAACAAACAAACAAACAAAAAAACAACCAAACCAACAACAACAAAAACTATATCTGACTTCTATCACTCGTGAAGAGATTATAAAAGAATGTATTTTTTAGTTGAAAGGGATGAAGCTGACAAATACGAAAGGATGCAGCACTCATATTATCTGATCCTTTAGAGAACAAGCTTCAACAACAAACAAATCTCTGCATAACTCCAGTAAACGATAGGAAAGACTGACAAAAAATTTAAAAACAAAACAAAAGTTTTGTACTCAGATACAAAATACAGATTCAGTCTTGGCCATGACAGTGAGATAAGAAAACGTAAGTCATTTATTATTAACAAGATTGCTTTGCCAGCGAACCAGAAACTCCAGGAAATGAAAGGCAGAAATGGTCTGTAGTTGCAAGCTTTCATTATTGACTCATAACCAAATGGCGATAGTGACACTAGTGCTCTGAGTGGGCCTGTGAAAATTGGAAGGGTAGGAGACATGATAATAATTGGAGACTAAGTTGCCACCATGGAAATCAGGTAGAAGTGATTGCCAGAGCATAACGTTGGGACAGCTTGTTAAAGAGAGAGTGATAAGGGAAAAAAAGCAACTTTTTGAGTTGTCTTCTGATTTGTAATATTCCTGTTGAAGTACTGGGAATCCTGGTACGGTTAGATGAACCTTCTTTGCAGGAGCAACAAAAAACCCAAATTTTGGCAATGGGCAAAAATAAACAGTTGCTATTCCCAGCAGAGATATCAACAGCTGATAATCTGAAATGTAGAGGCTGACAGTGCTGAGCTGCTCAGGGGTGGTAAAAGCAGGAACTGTTGCAGAAAGACCTTGTGATACCAAGTTGACTTTTCAGTTAACAATGGAAGATTAAATCCTCTGCCAAGTAATATTAAATAATGCAGATACTAAAAACCTAATCTTCATTTTGCATGCAAAGTCAATGTGTATTGACTTACTAGTGAAGAATAAAATTATAATTCTTGGGTAATAATAAATACTTTCTGGAAATGACTGCTCTGTGCTCAAGCGCTCAGCAGCACTGCAAAGACAGAACTTGGAGAAAGAGAGGAGCAGAGAACAAGATGGTAAATACCATCATTTCAGAAAGGACGGGGAAGAGATTCAGAGAAGGGCAACAAAGATGTGGAGAGGTTTCCATGCAAGGAACAACTAAGTAAATTAGGATGGTGGTTTGGAAAAGAGTTTGATTGCAGATGATGTGATGGAGAGCTATAAAATCATGAGTGGCATGGAAAAGATGAATGCAGAATGATTATTCCTAGTGTCTCCTGACAGAAAATCTAGAAGGCATTAAAAAGTTAAAAAAAATATATATTTTGTGTGTCTGTTCAAGAAAAATAAGATACTTTTTCATGTAGTGTGTAGTTGTTCTGCAAGACGTTGCAAATGCTAAAAAGTTTACATTGGTTTGAAAAGTACTTGAAGTTCATTGGTACAGGGCTAGTAATGCATCCATCACCACTGAATATGGAGACAGTGATTCAGGAATTCCTTAAGCCATTTCCAAGAGCTGGGAAATTCTCCTGGAAAACTTCTCTGATGTGCTTTCTCTTGTACTATTCCTTAGGTATCTGCTACTGGTGTGTTTTAGAGATGAGGTGTGGCATTGATTTAACCTATGATTTGACCTGGTACAAAGGGTAGATGCTTGCCAATCCAAGAAGCATTCTTTGTTTTGCACTCTGAAGCCTTTTGGATTGTCTCCCTGAGCCGATGTAGAGCAAGCTGGCTCATATTTCATTTTAACTCAGCAAAACATTAGTTTTTCTTAAATGAGTCAGTTTATGTTGAAGTCTCGATGGCTTTCTATTACAAAAAAAAAAAAAAAAGGCAGAAAGCTTCTGGCTGTCATCAGAAAACCTAACAGTTAAACTGTTTTCTCCCTCTAAAGCCAAGCAAGAAAATGGCACTTTAAAATTTGTTACAGGTCTCTGGGATATCTTATTGTCTGGTCTACATAGCTTTATAAAATAATTCCATGTTAACGTTGTCCAAACTGGAGAATAACAGAGATTTCAACGTATTTTAAGGAAGGTATGACTGCAGTGTGCAAAATGTGGGATTTTTAAAGCAATAAGACTTCAACTTTGTTCTCTGCCATTGTTTGTGTTACCTTAAACAAGGGCCTTCTCTTCTTTGTACATATTACAGTATCACAAAAGATGTCAAAGTTGGGAATTTATTTTTTTTTTCCTTGAGTATGATTCATCGTTTAGGTGTCATACAAAGAAACTATAACTTGAATTTATGGAAAATTGTTTTTTTTTTTTTTTTCCTATGTTCTCTGTTCCTTCAGGGTTGGTTAATATGCGAGGAGCCAACTTGCCAGAATCGAACCCGTCGAGTTCCCCTGAGTTTTTCCAGGAGTGGCCCCGTGTGCCAGGCTTGCAGGAAGGCTGTTCTGAGACCTGAG